TTCTAATTCAGTAAGGCTACAACTTGCAGGCCAATAATTGTAACATTAATCACTTTAGAGAGGCCAGTATAGGCCCATTGTCAATTACTTGCACACCATACTGCCACAATTCTGAAATTTATTAAATTAAATGGGGCTTATTTTGTTATGTTTTCAACCATATCGTCCGCTAGGAGGACATATTGGAATTACAAGAATAGTAAACATTTTGAAAAATATATGGTTAGATAAATGTAGGACAAAGTTTAATTGATGAGAGGACTGAGGGTAGTTACATAGAAGAAAGAGTCTGAGAGTGACAACATGAAAACATGCGACTCACCTAACTCTCTTTCTCGTGAACCATACTGAATTATTGTTACCATTTCACTTTGGCCACACAATCTATGTAACGTACCATTTTCATATAAATATTGTTCTCCTGAACAGAACAGCCACAACATTTCTTTCATTTCGAGCAAACCTTTGCCTAGTTTTGTAGTACTTTTCTCTCTAGTCTGTCTATACTTTAGATCATCTTGATGGCTGTTCTCAAAGCATTAACCAAAGATACAATAGTTGATCTGATATGCACAATTATCTTTTGTGCCTAAAAGTAAATTTAAAAGAAGACAATTGTGCAGATCAGATCAACCATTTTCCATTTTGGATTGTACTATATTATGGTTTCTCCAATTCTACGCTCTGGATTAAATCACGAGGGCATGAAGGTAAGCTTCTTCGGACGTTGATGTTCCTCTTTCTTTTGTCTTTATCTGTGATTTGAGGTTTTGATTAGTCCAACAATTGTTCAAGAGTATGGTACTTGATTGTGCTCACATTTGTCATCTTCTTCATGACTATAACCATAATCATTGTAGTTAACGATCGAAAAGACATAGAAGCAGTAGGTTCCTTGGCATGTTATTTATCCCCATAAGCACTTTTAGAACCCTTCTCCATAAACTTTACTTTCCCAAAATATTATTTCTTCATCAAGTTTTCGCTTTTGTGTGTGTGTTTTTGATAGTTATAACTGATTTGTAATCTTCTTTGTTGTTAGAGTATATTGTAGTTATCGCTTAGAGACTGCTATATCCTTTAAAATTGATGTTAAATTGTGCATCAATCCTCAAAAATCTGCTAAGTGTACATCTTATTATTATCCGCTTGTTGATTCTGCAAAATAAGGTTGCTGTATTGGAGCTTAGAGAAATATGATTCTTTTTGATTTATTATCTTGTGGGGATTACAAACCCTACGTAAGGTGCTTCTGTCTTCAAAGCCTTCACGGACTTCGAATATCATTTAATAATTATTAAAATGGAGAAAAGAAAGAAAAAAATATGAAACATATCTTAGCAAAATATATTGCAACTTTATAGACAATTTCTATCATTTCTAAAATGAGAAATTAATTATTACTAGCGGTAAAGGTGATCGTGGCAAAAACAATTACCCGAACAAATATATCTCTATTAAACCGAGGCGGAAGATTCGATTTATTACTAGTTTTATCTGGTTGTCACTTTATCTCTATACTTTGTATAATCTACTTCTAAAAAGTACATACAAAATCATTGTTTGTAACCCGTTTATTAATAAAATATATATTTGAAAAAAAAGTAAAAATATATATTTGAAAAAGAAAAAAAGAAATTAATTATTATTTTGCAATGAATAATGGAGCAGTGAGAAAAAGACAATTAATAAGAGGACCTACTATTTGGAAAGAACACTTTGCATTTTTTTAAGGCTCTTCAAGTTCTCTTTTTTTTTTTAATTATTACTCTTCAAGTTCTCTTTGATTGATCTATCTCTTAAATAATTCTGTCTTTTAAACAACTTTAAATCCTGGACTCCAATTCATTCAACATCAAAGTCACCATGAAATCAAGAATCAAAACCAAGAATTAATGTATAAATTCAGCAAATCTGCAGGCCAACGGTTGTAACAGTAATATAAACTATGAAAACATATTAAATAAGTCCATTTAAGAAGTCGGCCCATTTTAGGGGCTCGCGGTCATGGGATCAACGGTTAGAGTGACTAGATCCGATAACACTTGTGACATGCAGGGCCGTCCCTGAGATAAATGAGGCCACAAGKYAAAKAAAAAACGGGAGTCCCTACTTCGTATGTTTTCACTTGATTCATGAACAAAAAACCATCGAATCTTTCTGAATTATATATATACACATAAAAAAAAATTAAATGGGGGCCCAAATCTAATGCTTTATCCCGCTTGGTTCAGGAACGGCCCTAGTGACATGGTTCATTTTCATCTAAATCTCTTGAAAATGTTCTGTGGAACAAGTTTCCATTCAGCGAATTCATAACAATGCCATTAGGTCTATTCATTTTAGCCATGACTCCATGGACACAGGAATAGTTTCACAATTTTCCCAAACTACCGGAATCATTTTCGGTACTGGTTTTCGCTCTTTCGATATATAGTTGCCGTTAGTGTTGGAATATCGATGTTAGTGTTGGAATATCGATCCTCGTACTATCATGTGTAACCCTCGTCGTCGAACTACAACAACAAAACTGTTTTAAGTTTAAGTCTCCATACTCCATAGAAAAAGACTTGGGTGTTGTACTTAGTGGTTGCTATCTCTTGTCTTCCTAGTTTTTTTTGTTCCTATGGATCTCTGAACTATCACATTAAATAGAACATGTTTTTTGGAAGATTTGGTCCCACGAGTCATGTATTTATATGCACCTTTTCTTTCTCAAGGTAATCTTGTCGTGTGATGTTTTTGCATCTCCAAATCAATAAATAACACTTTTTTGTTTTTGTTAAAGATTATCATTTTAAAAGAAAATAAAATAATTGATGTTAAGGTAAAAATAATGATTAAAAGATTTGATTTTTTGGGGCAAATAAAAATAATGATGAGAAATTTCAAAAAATGTCATTTTTCAAGTGTCATTTTACAAAAATACTACACTTTTGAAATCTTTACAAAAATACCACTTTTTCAAAATTATTTTTTCTTTATAT